TAAGAAGGGGAGATCTTGACCTCTCTCTGCTCTCAGTACTCCCAGCACCAGCTTCCTTTCTTTTACCAGGGCTTTTCCCTTTACCCCGTGAAGGACACGCCCCTCTACTGGAGTCACAAGTTGAATTTGACGGACCGGGTTCATCAAGGTCTGACTCACTTGAAGACTCGTCTCTGCCAATGACATCGTTGAATTTGTCCCCGTCCGAGTCATTATCACTACAATCGAGCTTGGATTCATCCTCACACATAGTTTGGAACAAATTTACGGCGGCTTAAATTGCAGAAAGCCTTTGCTGTCTTCCATTATTGGTAGCAGCCATTTAATAATAAACAAACGAGCTGACTTGAGTTGACAAATTTGCTCTTAAAAAGTCACAACAAATTCACTGGAAAATTCGCTCCAAACACCACAAACTGCGTTCGAAAATAGCGTACTTCCATTCAAAAGTGATCTCTAAGAAAGAAGATTTCCGTACACGGTGTAGTTTTTACACAAAGCCCCAGAATATTACGTGACAAAGAGAGCCACATGAAGTGGCGTGCCAGCGTTTTGGCTTCTTTTAGTGCGCCACGTGAGGTGGCGAGCCGGACACTAAGAGTTAAGCTTAATGTTAATTTTTTTTTCTGGTTAGTTTCATCAGTTCAGTGGTTTCAATGACCAGATTGACAAGGGCAGGGCCAAAGTGTTTGTTTTTTTCCATCAAGGATTTATGTTATTTTAGCTATAGCCTAGATCTAGAGTCTAGTAGCCTACATATTAAAGTAATGAATAATGTCCAGCTAGCAGCAGCCGCAGCTTCCGTCTCTCTCTTTAGAAACAACCGACAACAACACTAATTTACTGTACCTACAATAAAGCAAGGAAATGAGAATGAGACTAATTTTAGAGACTCAACTCAGTGAATCCCAGTTTGGCTTCAGAAAAGGCTGGGGCTGTATTGACGCTATTTTCACATTAAGACATTTGTGTGAGACTGCCATTGCACATAACAAAGACCTCAATACCGTCTTCGTGGATCAGGAAAAGGCGTTCGACCGGGTACATAGATGTCAACTTTAGGAAGTTTTAGTTTTAGAGGAATATGGTGTAAGAAGACAATTGCTGGAGAACATCATGGCACTTTATAAAAACAGCCGATGTGCTGTAAGATCAACAGAAGGACTATCGGACTGGTTCCCCATCAGGTCTGGGGTGAGACAAGGGTGTGTTCTCTCTCCGCTTCTCTTATCACACATGGATAAGATCACGAAAGCAGCAAATTACAACATCACAGAACTGAACGAGCTTCTATTTGCTGATGACCAGAGTATATTAAATACAGATGAAGAGGAACTACAAAAACACGCCACAAAACTAAATGAGGAATGTAAACACCTGAACATGAAAACCTCCATCTCAGAAACAGAAGTTATGAAGGTCAGCAGAAACCCAGGGAAACTCTACATTCTTATTGATGGAACACTGCTCCAACAAGTAGAGGAATTTAAGTATTTGGGAAGCATCTTCTCACAAGATGGGAGTATGGACAAAGAAATACAAACAAGAATTATGACGGCAAATGCAGTGGCCTACCAGCTAGCACCCCTGCTCAGTCACAAGAACATCCCAACAGAAGTGAAATCCCAGCTCATCAACAGTATCTTCATACCAACCTTAACATACCAGTGCCAAACATGGTCTTTAAACAAGGCACAAGAAAGAAAAATCAATGCATGCGAAATGAGGTGCCTCCGCAAAACCATCAACATCACCAGAAGAGACTGCATAAGAAACGATGCCATACGTCTTCAAACTGGAATACCACCAGTAATAAAATTCATAGAGTGTCAAAGAGGGAAATGGTTTGGACATCTAACCAGAATGCCCCAGAAACAACTTGCGGCTAGAGCTTACAACACCCGAGAATCCGGCTTTAAACCAAGAAGAAGACCAAGAAAGACCTGACTGGATGGGGTTAAAAAGGTCCTGGAACAACATAACATATCTATCACAGATGCTACACACCGAGCACAGGACTGAAACTTGCACCTCCCCTTGACATCCTAAGGATACCAGAGGAAGGAAAAAGTAAATAAGTAAAAGTACAACAAACTAAAATCCTACCTTTGACACCACTGACTGTACTGTTTGATTGTAAGGAATTTTAACTCTTTGTTGTTGTTGTTAGCGATCCAGTAGCATCTGAGCGTTAACTCTTTTGCATGATACCATTCTGTAATAGCTGCATGTCTGTTCTAATTGTTGTCTTGAGGAGTAGAGGCAGTTAGATGTGTGGGGTAGCTTGGGAAGAAAACATCCCCTCAAATTGGTTAGTTTTCTACAGAAGAACAGATGATGTTCCACTGTCTCTTAGGGGTAGTTATATAGTGGGCAGGCAACAGACTGCTTTACTAAACTCCAGTTTGGTTGAGATGTTGATTGAGGGGCACATATTGTGTTCTAAGTTGGAAGATTATGGATTGGTCTCCCCTCCTCAACTCATTGATTGGATCTTTGACCAATGGTTTATTCATGTGGCCATACATCATCCTTCCTGTCATACCATTGGCTCATGCATTCATCCAGTCTTCCTTGAGGTTTGACTTGATCATTTGGCAGCAGGTGGTTTAATTAGTAGGAATATCAGGCTGAGGGAGGCTAGCTCCTTTCTTTGCCTGATTTTTAAAAACTCTTTAACCCCGGAATTTTTTGGGACCTTTTGACGGAATTTTTTTCCAGATCTTGTTAAGCATGTAATGGGGGATACACGCAATATATTATTAAATCTGTGTCAAAGTGAAACAGGATGAGGAAGTGTTTTTTATACCTGATTTATCCAATGCTTCTGAGTCAAAATAAATCTATTCGGAAATCGGATTCATAAAGGTAAAAAAGATTGCATCGGCAGTAATCTTCATGCACCCTGCGATCTAAAGACTCTAATGCCAGTTGAAAAACAAGTGCGGGACACAGAAGGAATGAAAGATGAAACCAAGACCTAATGAAGCAGTGCACTTTTCCGTTGATCTGAATGAAAGAATAGTGTATTATAGAGAGAAAATTATTTGCCGCTGCAAAGGTCTTGTTCTTACCATCATTATAGTAAAAGTGAGGTTTCAATTGAGTACTCTATTCCTTAATTTAGCAGTCAGGCTTTGGACTTTCAATTCAAGGGTTTGATCCCTCTCTTGAGTGGGTAGGGCTTTTAGTCATCTGGAAAGGTACTTTATTCTGATAAAATAACAAAAATAAATGAAAAAATTCCACTGTTACTGATCCCCATTGAAAAATTTGGTTATCTACATCATATATAATACATAAATGCAGTACATAAAAACACATAAATACATAGATGTATGGCTACTGAAACATATATATAGAGAGAGAGATAACAACATTGCTGGTCACCCCTGTGCAGTGCGCCGTTTTTTTAAACTTGGGTTATTGGTTCTTGCTCAAGGACACACCCCAGTAACGACCCATTTGAACCCTGTATCACTGATACTTGTCTGACATTTTTCCTCTTGTATGGCTGACTTCCTCCAGAGGGCAGAAGTCTGCCACATGCAGTCAGGTATGTGACGACCTCTTTGGGTTTGGTCCATAGTATATCTGGTCCAGGCCGGGTATTGTCTTGCAGCAATGGTTCACGGTACAGGTCTCCGTGCGGGCTCTCGAATAGTGCGTGTCGTAGATCTCCAGGACTGAACCACCTCTCAGGCACGAGTCGTCTGGGGAAGAACCTATCCTATGGAAGTATGACCTGGGGAAGAACCTATCCTATGGAAGTATGACCTGGGGAAGAACCTATCCTATGGAAGTATGACTGTAAGATAGGGCTCTTGGCGTTGCACCGTAACTGTGACAATATTCTTTGTCAGACATTTTATGTGAGTCTAAACTCAATAACCTCTTGGCCACTGGAGCCCCCAGTGATTCAGTTCACCCTCACTCTGCTGCTAAGCTATTAAGAGGGCTTGACAGTTTCCGTGCTAATTTTTTTTTAATGAAGGTGTTTTTATGCCCCCATCAACACAACATAGATCATTTAGAAGGAGGCAGGCTTTGATCCAGCCTGTCAGGGCCAACCCAGGGTGAGAGGTGTGTGCAGCATCCCAACAGAAAGACAGAGATAAAAATTGCTAAATAAAAATTATCCCAACTCTGGAGTCGAACTCGTGTCTCCTGTGTGATGGCGAAGCACCAAACCGCTACACCATTGTTGCCGCTGATAATCAGTAGCAACAGGTATACCGTGTGATTGATAGCTTTAGTGTGCCTAACAGGCTGCAGGCTGTATATCATTCTTAAGACAGATCGTGACTCGAAATGAACAGACCAGCTAGTTGTGAATTCATGAGACTCTTCCACAAGAGACGATACAAAACTTTGAGAGCTTATTATAATACTTTAATGTGTTTTCTGTGTGCTTTCAGCTGGTCGAAGTAGTCCACCAACAGTTGATGACCTGACGAACAAGATTTGTCCGTCTAAGACACCCAGACTCTGTGTGCCATTCGGAGTATGCTGTAGGTTGGATCAGTACTGTGACAGAAAGCGAACTCGAGATTGCAAGTCTTGCTTTCCATTTTCATAGTAGGTTTTGAGCTCTGGAAATGTTTTGTTTTCTTTTGGTTTTTCTATGAGATGTATGAGTGACTCCGATTTTGTTTGTTCACCCTGTAACTTAAAGGACCCCTGGGGCAGTGCCACTGACTGAAGTGTCTTTAGGCCATTCCCAAAGCGGGGACATTTCTCGTTCATGCGCAGTAGAATTGTAAATGGGCTGATTCATCAATGTCACGCTCATAACTGTGCCTGATCTACAACAGGGAACTGTTTCTTTTTCTTTCCTAATTCTTACTATTGTCATTTTTCGTCTACTTCTTTTGTATGTTTGTCACCTTGATAGTCGAAGCAGACTTTGTGCTGTTGAAGCTAGAGAGGTGAGCAGAGTAAGTCTGATTCCCTGTAAGAACTTCTCTGTTGACATCCACCCCCTTGGCGCTCATATGACCTTATGCAGTTGCGAGCGCCGTAAAACCTCTACTAAAACTAAACAACTTAAAGTAGGATCTAATGAAGTTGTGCATTGTTATTTCAACATCAATGATGTGTGTGTGTGTGGGGGGGGGGGGGGGGGGGTGAGGTTTGCACTTATGGGATCTCGAGTTCAGTGCTCAACAGGCCAGTGATTCTGGTGGCTGTAAGTTTTTTAATCTTTTATTTCAAAATCTCAGAAACTGAAAATCTGGTCTCCCTCTCCTACTCATGTCTAGGAAAGTTCCTTTTCTGGTAAGAGTAAGAGAGGTTGGAATGCCTCTTGCCTCTTGTCTTGTTTGATGCACATGGTATTCTAGCCAGAGATAGCAAAGCTACTATCATCCTCTCCCTCTTGATGAAACTAAGAACGTTGAACTGCCACAGAGGAAAGGATTTAAAGTAAAGGATATTAAGGTTGGCAGACAAGTATTTTTTAAGCTATTTTCCACTCGTCGCATGACTGCGAAGTATGGCATAACAGGCTAAAAATACACTTATCCTAAAATGAAGAAAGGAAAAGGGACTGATACTGAACTGAAGACTTGGTGAGTGTTTTTCTTTCTATATTATATTGTTTTAATTCTTACATGGAGGAAAGATGATATGTGTACTTCGACTGTCGCTGACACAAGGATAGAACACATCACCGGCACTGCCTCAGATCTTTCTTACTGCTGACTAAACAGTAAAAATGAAGTGTACTTGATAATTCAAAATATTCAGAACTGAATATGCATAAAACAAATTTTGGTTTTACTTGGTCTGCCTAAAAGAATTGTTCGAGTTTGAGAGAGCAAACCCAAAAAAAGTTGTGACGGAAGGGAAGAGATCTTCTGATGGTAATGGATCGAACACAAATGAGAAAGTTGATGAAATGGAATTCCTATGGTCAGAGACACAGAGTTAGGCCATTAACAACATGGCTTAGAAAAATAGGGGCAGATGCAAAGAAACTGGGTAAAACATCACATGGGCATAGCTGGAGCCATTAGGACAGGACTGACAACTCTAGAGAGGAATTTTTGAGGGCTTGAACTCATAAGGGAGTTATGATGCAAGCAAGAAAGGGGTACCAGTAATTAAATACTAGGTATCTTTTATTTTGTTTCTTCCTTGCGTAACTACTAGCTTGGGGGGAATCATATACGTAAGGCATCGTGGTGAAATCAGGTGTTTTTCAAAATAATGAAATCCAAGTAAAGGGCTTTTTCCCGCCAGTTTGGCAATTTTATCGAACTATTTGTAAAACAATTTTGGCACAACACCTTTTGTGTCCGTACAAATTTCCATGTGATTTCGTAACTAAAACATGTTGATTAAAGGCACAAAATAAGTAAATTTTCAGTTTTCAAGGACTCTCAAGCCACTGAAGTTACCAAACTTTGGCGGCAATTTTGTAGCTGATTTTACCTCTGAAACCAGGCTACCCGCACCTTCTTCAATTGCAAATATCCGGACTTTTATTCAAGACAGAAAGGTATTTTATTCATAGAAAGCAAGGGGAATGAATAAGCTTTCAGAAGATACCAATAACTCAACATGCCCAAAATTTGACGAGCACCTGGTTCAGCTGCATCGTGACTCACATGTGTTACAACAAGGTGGAATCGGGCACTTGTCAATTTGGGGGCATATGGTGGAGGTATTGGTATAATCTTAAAGCTTGTTCACTTGGTTTGCTTTTGATGAAAAAAATCAGTCTGTCTTAAATAAAAGTAGAGATATTTGAGATGGAAGTCTCTTGGTGTCTGTCAGAGGTAAAATTTGCGAGAAAATGGCGTTTGTGAGTCCAAAGCTTGAATGTCTTTAGAAACTACAAATTTACATTTTTTGTGTGCTTTTGATCAATGTTTTTCAGTAAAATCCTCACGTAAGTGCTTTAAAATGAACATAAAAAGTGCTGAGGCCCCCCTCCCCCTAAAAATGAATATAAAAATTTCTTAACAAACAAGAAAATATTGGTGCCTTTGCTTTCATTATTTTGACGAGAGCCTGATTTCAACATGATGCCACACATATTTTAGTCTGTTGTCTTGACTTGTTTCATCACATTGCATTGCATAAATTAATCACCGACCCTTGACCTGTCTCTGTCACTTTCTGTTCCAGTGAGGAGAGACAAAATGAGACAAAGCTACGTGAATGGTGCAGGTTTGAGGGACAAGGGAACGTCTCTCGTATGGAAAACCTGGAGTGCCTTGGTGCTTGTCTGCACAGGTTTGGAATTCAGAAAGATCCCATAGAAGAGGGTAAGCTTAGAGAGAGAGAGAGAGAGAGAGAGAGAGAGAGCTGAAATGTGCATCTGTGCCATAATCTCATAGGTCATGTGAATGTCTCAGTGATATCATAACTTCTACACTTTCTCTGATGTAGGAGTGACATCTTTTTACTCCTTGACCTCCTTTGGGTCCAACTCCTTCATTTTTATAAGTCTATTTGTGGCGTTAGTAGTCTAGTTGTCAGGTTCCTGGGTTCGAGCCTCAGACCCAAAGTTCTCTCCTAGGGAAGGGCACATTACCTGAATTTTCCTCACTTCACCCAGGTATGAGTGGGAATCCGGCCATAAACAGCGAATGATCTTGTCAGTATGTTAGTGTTTTATCGCCTATAAAAATGGCAGCTTGCACTGTATGCTTCCCAGGATGTTGAGAATGTTTCAGAATGCTATCGGATCTGCTGTGGTAATAATACAAATTGTAAAGGGCATAGAGCTTGCTGTTGAGAAGGAATTTGCGCTATACTAATGCTTTCTGTTTTTATTATTATTACTAGTAATAAAAGTAGGCCTACCCGTTCTTATTATTATTACTAGTAATAAAAGTAGGCCTACCCGTTCTACGAACGGAATAATTATGAAGAATTGTTAGGAAAGTTAAGAAGAGGAAAAAGACTGAAAACAGGAAAGAAACAAAACACAAATATTTTACCTTGAATTTTATCCGTGTAGCACCCCCTCTTGACTACCTCTAGGGGTAAGACTTCTTCTCCCTCTTCGAAGGCGTGGCATTTTCTCCTAAAGTTCCTGCTCAATCACTTTTTTTTAAAAAGAGTTAGGCCTAAATTCCAATTGTTGCTTCCTAGAAGAACCTTATCTAGATTCTAGATCTAGCCTAGATCTCGAAGGATTATAAAGACATAGGCCAATAATTGAAAGAAAGAGCCTTGGCCCATAGATAGATCTAAGTTTAGAAATTCAGTTTTTTAACGACCGACATGCGTCACAGATGGCCTAGATTTCTAGATCTATTCACAGCAGGAAAAATCCACTTTCAAGAACACTTTCATGATTCTTGATCTCGATCTAGATTCACCTACAGCCTAGTTCTAGACTCTAGATCTATTCACAGCAGGAAA